GGACTCAATGCAAATGAGGTCTTTCAGCTCGGAGAAGGGAGCTGTCGTCCCCCAGTTTTGTTTGGTGTCTCAGGTCTTTGCTGCCTTTGCCTTCTTTGGTGGCTGAGGACCTGAGTCAGTTGACCAGTTGGTCAATGTCTTGTTTCCTTCACATTGAAGGCTTCAGACTTGGAGGCCTTGATGTTGACGCTGACACCTTGGCTTTCGGAGGCGAAGTTGCAGCTGAGGAGGCCAACGCCAAAGGTGGTTGAACCCATGATTCTTCTGGGCATAAGGAGACAGCTGAGGACTGCTGCTTGGTTGTCCTTGAAATGGCCTTCTCCATGGCTTGTCTGGGGTGTCGCCTTACAAATAGGCTGAGCCATGATGTTTTCTGGCTACAGAGACTCCTCCCAAAGGTGAAGTCTCAGCCTAGAGAGCCAGCTGCAAAGGACCCCTCCGCTAAACTTCTTACAATGGGAATTCGAGGAGATCTGGTGAACTTCTTCGAGGCAGAAAAGGGACTTATCATAGCTGTCGGATAATAGGATTTCATTACTGCAGTCAACGCAGCACTTGAGAGGCCATAAACTGTTTAGACTGGGAGAAAGGGGGGCGAAGCCCAAAGGGCCAAGCCTGGGTGTAGGAGGTCACCAGGAGCTAAGGTATGAACTGCTAATGCTTAACTTTAAAAAATCAACAAATCTCTCTTTTTAGGTTGAAAAACTCACAGAAGCTGGAATGTGTGTTTCCTAGGTTCTCAACATGGTGGTTGAGAAGAACTTAGGAGACAGTCTCGGCACCAAGGTACTTACAGGAGGGAAGGAGGTGCCTATGCTAAAGTGTCTGCTTGCTCACTGCAGAAGCTCTAGAATGTTCCAAGGAGGCTCTGTGCATGCTCGAATCACCCTAAGTGTGATTCACAGAGACCACGAAGAAGAACCACTGTTACAGGAATGTGTAAGCAACCTGTACTATTTCTTTGTGTTGTCTGTGACTCACACTTATGGGTGACTGGTAAACCTGCTTGCTGAAGGAGAGTAGCCATCAAGCTAGTACAGAGGAAAGCACTGTTTCCTCTACTAAAGGCAAAGAAGCACAGATAGCTTACCTCTAACTTTTCTTCTTAGAGTTGTTATCTGTAAACTCACACATCTGATCTTTCTCCCCTTATGTTGTCCTGCTATCTTATTTTCATTATATCGCCAACAGATGTGGAACTGAGGAAAAACTGCTAATTGTATCTAGGCATGCATGTCACAGTAGCAGGGGCAATTCTAGAATATTAAAAGCTTGCCTCCAGCAATGAAGGCATGCCACTGAAATCCAGTACTAACATAGCATAACAGTCTTGCTGTGTTTGAATCATGTGAGTTCCAGGATGGAAACAGGATTTCCCAGCAATCTCCACCCCAATCACATACATCATTACTCTTATGCCAGCATAATTTATGAAACAGGATTTTGGCTGGGGTCTTGTCATTTACAGCAGTGGTTCTTAACCTTTGTTACTCGGATGCTTTTGAACTGCAACTCCCAGAAACCCCAGTCAGGACAGCTGGTGGTGAAGGCTTCTGGGAATTGCAGTCCAAAATTCCTGAGTAACCCAAGGTTAAGAACCAGTGATTTACACTAAAGAAAGATGAATTTGGGCTGAAAAACATTAACAATAAAAACAGGTTTTATAGTACAGTATAGGAACAGATTGATTTTGCTAGGATTGTTGAAAAATACTTGAAAATGTTCAAGATGGAAGGTGGGGGAGACAGGAACCTCGACAGCTTACAACCAGCAGAATTTGGTTAGGAAATTAAGGATACCCTATAGTTACTAATCAGTTTTCTTTTCCAAAGAAGAGTAAAATAATTTATACTTGGTAACACAGCTTGTGAAATTTCTTGCTTATTATGAATGAAATACATTCTAATACATGCACCTCATTGGTAGAAACACAGAACTGTAGAACTGGATGGGGTCCCAAAGTTAATCTAACCAATGGCAATCTAACATCTGTTTAAAAAACTCCAGCAAGAGGACACTATCTCCCCTTATGAGTTCAGTGCCTCTCTGTTTCTCCTTGTGAGGATATGCTTAGCATGTTGCACAAAGTGGGGATTCTGGCTTGTTGCTCACTGTACAAGTCAGAATCATAGACCCAAATTGATTTTTGGCTTATTGTTTTGCATTCAGTGTTCCGCAAATCGCTGAAGTATTCCACTAAAGAAATAAGCCAATATGCATGATTTACAATTACAGTGGTGCCCCGCACCACGGCGATAATTCGTTCCCCAGAAATCGCTGTTAAGCGAAAATATTGTCCAGCAAAAACAGTTTCCCCATTGGAATGCATTGAAACCCATTTAATGCGTTCCATTGGGGAAATTACCTTGTCATCCAGCGAAGATCGCCCATAGGGGAAGTCATTTTCCGAGTGCCTTTTAAAATGGCTGCCCTGCGAATCATGGATCCGGAAACCACAGGGCAGCCATTTTGCGGAGCGGGAAAACATCGTCTTGCGAACAAATGGTTCGCGAAGCATGGACCTAATAGTCGTCAAGCAAAAATCCCCCATAAGAAAAAGTCACTGTCCTGTGGATTCGTCATACAGCGGTGTCATCGTCTAGCGAGGTACCAGTGTAAGTTTTTTCTGAAAGGCACGCTCATGATTCAGAATTAGACATCATGTTTTATTTCAGATACACACCAAATAGCTATTTAATTTCCTTTATATTTATATGGTAACGTCAATATGGACTATTTTATGAACTACAACACGTTCAGCTTTCAGCCTGGAGGCAGGCGGTACAGCATGGCCTCTCCCAATTTGAAGGGACACTTGTCCAGCAGGCCGAGGCAAAGAAACAGTCTCGAAGCCAGCAATATCAGGGAGCTGGACAGGGTACAGATTGTATTTGTCTTCCGTCTGGAAGGGATTGTCACTCTTGAATTGGCCTTCTCAGCCACACTAGACACTGTTCCAAAACCTCTATTAAGAGCATGTTACCATGGTCTCTTGAGACTGAAGGAAGTAGGGCTATGAACTACATAAACACCTGTCAATATACTTGTTTGTCTATTAAAGCTATTTGTATACTACCCAATTTACTGCAAAGCACTATTCTGGGTGGCTGACAGTAATTTACTAAACCCAATACAATAAAATATCCCATAACAAATGAACAGACACATTGATGGCTGACCAGTATCATTCTTACAACTAATTACTGATAGTTAAAGTAAACATTGACATTTTAAAACTTCTAACCTGTTTCTACTCTCACAAGATCTTTTCTGTGTGCTTATAAATATTTGATGACATTTTGAGTCAGTGTGATTTTATGTATCATAACATGCAATGAGTATGGAAAGGAACCATTGGCTATTTATACAGTGGTGCCTCGCTTAGCGATTGCCTCGTTTAACGATGTATTTGCTTAGCGATGAGGTTTTTGGAGCGATTTTGCGCTCCGTTTAGCGATGTTTCCAATGGGGAAATTTCGTATAGCAATGTTCAGGACCTTGCTTCGCTTAGCAATGACAGTTTAGGTCCCCCTGTTTCGCTTAGTGATGTCCATTTTCACTATTTTAAATGTGTCTTAAAATGTTCAAAAACTGTTTAAAATGCTTGGAATTGTTAGTGTACCCTGTAAAACCTTTGCAAACTTAATTTGGCTTTGTTCTGAGTCTTCGTTAATTTTTGGTGAATCCCCCCCCCCATTGGAATACATTGAACTGTCACAGTTCAATGCATTCCAATGGGGTGGTGGTGGAAATTCACCAAAAATTAACGAAGACTCAGAACAAAGCCAAATTAAGTTTGCAAGGATTTTACAGGGTGCACTAACGATTCCAAGCATTTTAAAGTTTTTGAACATTTTAAGACACATTTAAAATAGTGAAAATGGACATCACTAAGCGAAACAGGGGGACCTAAACTGTCATTGCTAAGCGAAGCAAGGTCCTGAACATTGCTATACGAAATTTCCCCATTGGAAACATCGCTAAACGGAGCGCAAAATCGCTCCAAAAACCTCATCGCTAAGCAAATACATCGTTAAACGAGGCAATCGCTAAGCGAGGCACCACTGTACTTCCTGCTTTCTGTGTAACATCCAAAATGGTTGAGGAGCAAGAGCTAAATCTATGGGAAACAAGGATGGGTTATGGAGAAAATGGTATGGATCTCACATAGCAGATTCCTTCTTTCAGATGTTAAACATATTTACATGGGGTATCCTTTTGAAGAGTGTTTAGAAATTTCAGCTGTTCCAAAATGCTACAATCAAACTTTTAATAAGGCTGGTTACTAAGGGCATGGAATTCCCATACTACAACTACTCCAATGGCTACTATTCCGTTTCTAGACTCTATTGAGAGTGCTGATTGTGACCTACAAACTCCTGTACATCTTAAATCCAGGACATTTGAATGACTGCATCTTCCCACGTGAGCCTATACACACTTTAAGATCTCTGTGAGAGACCTTTCTCCCCTTCTGCCCACATATTCATGATGTGATGATTTAAGAGACAACATTTTCAATGGCTACTTCCAAGCTGTGGAACTTCCTTGGGAGACTAGGTGCCCTATTCCATGCCTTTCCACTACCAGGAAAAAAGCTTTCTCTTCAGGCAAGCTTCTGATCACTGATTCAGCTGCAGAGAAAAGAGTTTTTAACAGGAGATGCTGCACTTCTTTCTCTTTCAAATTCTTTTTTAAAGAGTATGTATGGCTTTTTCTGTTTCTAAATTGTATTCAGTTTAATATGCTTTTAATATGATGTGTTTAATTACATTTTTAATATTTAAAATTTTGTATTCCCCTCATTTTGAAAGCTGTTTTGTATTGTTGAATGAGGAAAAAGTGCAGGATATAAAAACTAACTAAAATAATATATAAATTCATCTATAATCTTAGATAAAGTAAACTCAAGCCTTTTGTTTCCTCTTGTTTTCTATGTCCTATAATATATGAATCCAAATCAGAGAGTAGAAGAGAGAAAATGCTTAAATATAACTAACCTGTACTTTGTGCCCAAGGCAGTGGTTCTTGGTGATGCCAAGTCAGTATGCACCTATGATATTCTGGACGAGGGTCCAATTTTACATCACATGATAACTGCAAAAAAGCACGCACCACAAGGAAAATGAATGTTTTTTCTGTCTTACTGGAAAAACTCTACAATGTACAGCAATGTAAACATTCATAGAAAGGATGCCCAAAACCAGCCCACGTGAAGAATGTTGCACTGGAACTGAGCAGAAACTTAAAAGACAATGTTGGCTTGATTAGCTAGAGAAAAGCTGAAACGATAAGCATATTTTCAAACCTCATACCTAATGAAAATGTATTACTGTATTTTAACACAGGGAATTTATATTGTATTTAGTTTCTTTTATCTATCTCACTCAAGTAGCCCTTGATTCTTTCCCAAAGTAAACAATCACCAAGTGCAACCCAAAGTCTGGAATCTAGAGCACCCTTCCTTGGGAGGTTTGTTTAGCCTCTAGGCTTCCATCAACAGACAAAGAGCTTTCTTTTTAGGCAGTCCATCAGAACTTGAATGGACACCTGAAAAGGGAGTTTTAATAAGATATGCTTTATGCTTTACTGCCTACTCATGTATTTTTAAAGTGTTCAAAATTATTTTAAATTATCAGTCATTTAATATCAGCTGGGATCTTACTAGCATTAGCATAAAGTTTGTATAACTTGTCATGGCTATTTGATTATGTATCTTGGTTGCACAACTGGATGCTTGACCAGGCATCTCATCAACTAGCTGTGGCAAGTTATGCAGACCTTATGCAAACACGCCTGGGATTCTAGCCATTGTATGTTCCCCACACCCAATAAATTGTGTTTCTGGATCAATGGTCAGGAAACGGGTAAATTACCCCAAATGGGATAAAAATGAAAATCCTGGGGGTAATGAGGACGGTTGCAGCAATGTGACCGTCCTCATTAGCCCCAGACATTTTATTTCCGACAATACTGTGTGTAGGTGAGCATTCCATCATGGGGAGAGTGAGCCCCGGCGAGGAACTGCACAGGGCACCCACCGGCCCTCCTCACCTCCAAAGTGTGGGGGGGAGGGTAGTGGACCAGGTCAGCTGGACTCTTTGCTCGGCGGAGCCCTGGCTGAAGCTCTCCTTCCTGCTTGCGCCCACCTTTCCAGTGTGCTGTGAGGAGGCCCCCTTCCCACCCCGCCTCACCTGAGCTCATGGCCAGTGGACCTGCTGGCCCTGTGGTGCCCGCCTCCCCTTGCCAACGACGTGATTTCCCAGTGGCGTGGCAGCTCCAGACTGGCTGCTTGGGCAGCAGCCGCAGGTCCCGGGAGTGCGCAGAGGTGGGGGGGGTCAGCTGTGGACAGCGAGAAGGGAGGGGCGGTGCTGGGAGAGGGCGTATATAATGTTGGTGTATATAAATTTTTTTGGGAGGTAAAAGATAAAAAAGTTCCCTGACCCCTGTTCTAGACGTATCTGTTTTTAAAATTAGTTTGTTAGATGTTTTGGACTCCCTATACTGGGAGAAAAGTGGGACAGAAATGAAACAAATCACCTGGTCACAAGCATTCAAATAGGGAACTCACCTTTTTTAAATCACTCTTCTCCCATTTTGAATGGTTATTCTGTTCCTGGTAAGCCTGTAGCAAGATACTTTGGCAACTCAGCAGACGTATCTGTTTTTAAAATTAGTTTGTTAGATGTTTTGGACTCCCTATACTGGGAGAAAAGTGGGACAGAAATGAAACAAATCACCTGGTCACAAGCATTCAAATAGGGAACTCACCTTTTTTAAATCACTCTTCTCCCATTTTGAATGGTTATTCTGTTCCTGGTAAGCCTGTAGCAAGATACTTTGGCAACTCAGCATAAAGTGATGGCGAACCTATGGCACGCGTGCCACAACTGGCACGCGGCAAAACTTTTGAAGTGGCTGCAGCTGGGATTCCCCCTTTTTCTTCCTGTTCTGGGTCCTTTAACTTCCTGTCCATCCCCATGATTCCCCC